GAGCCCGTCATTGTTTTTTAGAAGCAGAGTCTTCTTTTCTCGCCCATGCTGGATGGAGTGCAGTAGGGTAATCATACCTCACTGCAGCTTCCAACTTCTGGGCTCAAGCCATCCTGCCTCAGTCTCTTAAGTAGCTAGGACCACAGATATGTGCCACCACATCTGGCTAATTTTTCTATTTTTGTAGAGAAGGGGGTCTTGCTATATTGCCCAGGCTAGAGTGCAGTGGTGTCATCATAGCACATTGCAACCTTCAAAACTCCTGAGCTCAAGCCATATTCCTGCCTCAGCCTCTGGAGTAGCTGGGACCACCGATGTGTGCTACCACACTGGCTAATTGATTGATTAACTTTAGAGATGGGGTTTCACTATGTCGCCCAGGCTATTCTAGAAGGTCAGGCTTCACGTGATCTTCCCACATCCATATACATTTTCAACTCTTCCCACATCCACTCTTCCTTCTGTGTCTCCATCCCTCCCTCCCCGCTATCAAAACCAGAGGTCATGACTTACTTCTTCTCATCTTCTCATCTTCTTCTCTCTGCTTCCCTCCTTCTGTCTCCCACAATTGCCTCATTCTGTCTTTTCTCTCTTGCCACTATCTGATCCTGGTCCCCTTATTCTCTAGATGAGTAAAACTACTTCACTGACAGTAGTCTGGGGGAGTTTTTAAAAACATCAAGTCAGGCTCCGTGCCTGTGGCTCAAGTGGCTAAGGCGTCAGCCACATACTCCTGAGCTTGCTGGTTCAAATCCAGCCTGGGGCCCGCCAAACAACAATGACAGCTGCAACAACAACAACAACAACAAAATAGCCGGGCATTGTGGTGGGCGCCTGTTGTCCCAGCTTCTTGGGCGGCAGAGGCAAGAGAATCGCTTGAGCCCAGGAGTTGGAGGTTGCCGTGAGCTGTGATGCCACAGCTTGAGGCTCTGTCTCAAAAACAAACAAACAAAAAAACCCATTAAGTCATATCACATTACTCCCTTATTTTAAAAAACCCATTAAGTCATATCACATTACTCCCTTATTTAAAAAACCCATTAAGTCATATCACATTACTCCCTTTTTAGAAGGCCAGATGTGGTGACTCACACCTGTAATCCTAGCACTCTGGGAGGCTGAGGCTGTGGATTGCTTGAGCTCACAGCTTCAAGACCAACTTGAGCACAAGCAAGACCCCATCTCTACTAAAAAAAAAAAAAAATTGAAAAAAGAAAAGCTTTTTAGGAGGCAGGTGATGTACAAGAAACTTGGGAGGCTGAGACAGGGGAATCTCTTGAGGCCAGGAGTTCAAGACCAGCCTAGGCAAAACAGTGAGACCCTGTCTCTTAAGAAAAACAAATGAGGGGCGGTGCCTGTGGCTCATGCGTAGGGCGCCAGCCCCATATACCGAGGGTGGCAGGTTCAAACCTGGCCTGGCCCTGGCCAAACTGCAACAAAACAATAGCCGAGTATTTAGTCCCAGCTACTTGGGAGGCAGAGGCAAGAGAATTGCCTAAGCCCAGGAGTTGGAGGTTGGTATGATGACACAGCACTCTACCGAGGGTGATAAAGTGAGACTCTGTCTCTACCAAAAACAAACAAACAAAAAAAATTTTAGTCCTTCATTCAGTAAGCATTGAATAAGGACTTACTCCATACTGGAGACATAGCATTGAACAAGACAAAGTTCCAGAGAACAAAAAGCGAGTAAACAACCATATGAATGAATGGTTGATTCATTCACAGTAAGATGAATGAATTCCCTTTGAGGGGAATATACCCTAGGGTAGGTGGAGGTAGAACTCCTTAGCCAGGCAGCCAGAGAAGGCATCCTGGAGGGAGTGGTATTTGGACCAGGTCCTGAAAGATGAGAGGATGAGTGGACATGGCAAATGGTGGAGGTGCGGGGCACAGCGTTTCAGGAAGACAAAATAGCAAGTGAAAGAGACTAGGAAGGGTGAGAGCAGACAGGAGGCCATGGAGGGTAGAGAGGGGCCCATGGCACCTGAGATGAGATTAGGCAAGAAGGTGAGGTTGGCAGGTAGACTGGGACGAACTCTGCCAGCCTTTGTCAGCAAACTCTTTAGGAGTGGGCTTGAACCCTTGTGTATATTCTGGCCCAAACCCCTTCCTCAGCGCACTTCACCAGCCATATGAGTTCACCCACTACTATGCCTTAGCTCTCATAGTGTCCTCCTCTTGGAATGGTCTCCCTATGAAATTTCATCTATCTTAGAAAATTGACTCAATTGGCCAGGTTGGTGGCTCATATTTGTAATCTTAGCACTCTGGGAGGCTGAGGCAGGAGGATTGCTTGAGCTGAGGAGTTTGAAACCAGCCTAAGCAAAATGAGACCCCATATCTACTAAAAATAGAAAAAAATTGCCAGACATGGTGGTTCGTTCATGTACTCCCAGCTATTCAGGAGGCTGAGGCAGGAAGATTGGTTGAGCCTAGAGGGTTGAGGTTGCTGTGAGCTAGACTGAAGCTATAGCTTGGGCAAGAGAGCAAGACTTTGTCTCAAAATAGAATATTCCAAAGCCACCTCCACCATGGAGACTTCCTTGCTTTTGTCTCAGTCACCAGCTCTCCCCCCAACATCTCTAATGTGACTCATGGAATGATGGAGTATATGCATTGTATGCTGAGAGCTAGGCACTGTGCTGAGTGTTAATGCCATGTAAACTCCCCACAACACCATGAGGACAGGAAGGGTTGGTGGGGCAGAAGGGCGGTGGGGTAGAGGGGTGGGATATCAAAACCATCCCTGTTTTCCAGATGTAAAAACTAAGTCCACAGAGCTTGAGCGTTCCTTGTCCCCCTGGAGAAGATGTGATTCGGAGCTCCAGCATTGGCCTCCTGAGTAGCTGGGACTACAGGCATTCACCACTGTGCCTGGCCAATTTTTTAAAAACTTTTTGTAATTACAAGGTCTTGCTATGTTGCCCAGGCTGCTCTTGAACTCCTAGCTTCAAGTGATCCTCCTGCCTTCCCCCCCACCAAAGTGCTTGGATTAAAGGTGTAAGCCACTGTGCCCAGCTAAGTTTTCCTTCTGTTGTTCCTCAGGCCAGATGGGTGGGAAAAGCTTGGGGTCAAGATGGTTGCAGGGAAAGAGACAGTCTTGAAGAGAAGAGCCTGGAATGAAGAAGACATCACTAGGCGACCCTCACCCCTGCAAGCCTGATTCCCCACCAGCTCTAGCCACGGTGGGTTCAGGTGAGACCCTCCAAGTCTACTCAGTACAGAACACCCCCAAACAAGGAAGCTGGACAGAGTCTGGCCTTGAGACTCCTTGGCCTGGCAGCTACAGGATCTACTTCTACAATGCTGAGGAGTTTGCCACCCATATGTAGCCAGGGCCCCAGGGAAGCCACCGTGTTCTCAGCACCTGCTGGGAAGAGTCATGAGACAGCAATCATGGGGGTTTTCCTGTAGCACAAGAAGTTCCAACCACTTCCTCAAGCCCTTTAGAGAGGGGGGGCTCCTGGGACAAAGATAGGTTAACATGGCACCTGGGCCTCAGAACATGAGCAGATACTGTTTTTCCCAAATACATGTCCTAAAGAACATGCCTTTTTTTTTTT